TATATTTTTTTCAAAGCAGAAGTAATACACAACTTCAATTTGAATCATTGAATCAACTAACCTAGTACTTTTATAGAATAGTAGAATATTTTTAAGGGGACTTATGATGTTATTGAATTTTATATTTCAAAAAATAACTTTTTCCCATATGATATGAAATCGTTTTTTTACACTCATTAGAAGAAGACTTAAGTAATGGTACTTATGTTAGATGTAGTGAGACTGCAGTCATCGATTAGATTCAAAAATCCTGAATCTATCTACTCGCATAAGACATTATTATAAAATCAAAAAAAAAATTAGAACTTAAAATCTATCAAAAATATTAATCATCTATCATCTCTTTATAATATCAACTTTTGTTATTCTACAAGTAAGACATGAAGTTATCTGTTCACATAAATAAGGAGCAAAAGTCTGGTTTGTGATGACAATATATGACTTTGGCACAAGATGGATTTTTATACATACATTTTTAGTATTATTATTTGGCGATAGATTTAAATCACCATTGTATTATTTAATCATGTCATAATTTTACAGTATCATAAAAAGTAATTGCAACCCCTTAAATTTCCTTGTTTTCAATTTTCACGTGTACATTTCAATTTTGCATTCATTTCGTGTATTAATTCAAAATGCAAAGTTATCTTTCAACTCTGAAATTCATTAAAACTTTTATTACAAAGAATCAAATTCTACTTATCAATATTTCTGAAACGCTTTCACATATAGACAAATAGTTCTGACTAAAATCCCTGATTACAATCGTGAAAGCCTATTTCATGAAGCAAATAATGAATAGAAAAAATACAAAAAAGATAAAAATATTGAAGAAATAATCAAAGTTTTTTTTAATACACCAGTTCCTATATAAGGATTTTCTGTTTTACATACAAAATATTCAGCACAAACAGTCAATAATTTACATGTAGATATAGTAAATACAACAAATACAACAATTCAATTACCACCTCAACAACTAGATGAATTACCTCGTGCAAATGTCCCTTCCTAAAAAGAATTTTTGATCAAATAAAAGAAGCCAAAAAAAAATTAGTAGAATTTACCTCTTTTTATAGTTCCGCTAATGATATTCAACTTTGTAAAAATCTTTATATACATATCGAAAGTTTAAAAAATGGTTTTGAAGAAAAAAAAAACAGTTTAAAAAAACTTAAACGAAATGCAGATTATTAGCAAAAGTCTAGATTAAAAAAAGCAACATGTTTAAAGGAAGAGAATGAAGCAGTTATATACGATCGTGTTGGCCGTCTTCTAGTATTTTTTGAATATTCTGATCTTCTTGAACATATACATAATTCAATTGAATTCAGTGCGGCCGATGCTAAAAGAAGAAAAGAAATAATTAAAGTTAGATCAGTAACACATTTACAAGAGGAATTAGAAAATAATTATAATGAATACTTATCAACAAGTACACTTTGCAATTATATATTACTAAATAATAGAAATTCTATTGCAGAAAAAGCCCATTACCACCCTGCAATAGTTGGAATAGCTAATATTTCACGAAGTGAAAAGAAAGAACAGATTGATTCACATTATTGTTTAGCCTCAGTAAAGGCATCAAAATCATTTGTAAGCATATTTTCTGATCTAACAGTTATGATATCTCAGGATGATAAAGTGAAGGTTAATGTTAGTATACTTGCTGTAAGACGTACGTTTCAAACTATACAATCAATTGCTGAACCTGTGGAAGTAGAAAATCATGATTTTCCAATTGGTGCATCTCAAAAGCTAATTCTAAGTGTTTATTTAATGATCAATCTGACTGATTCAAATGACACGATGAGAGCAGAGCAGCTTGCAATTTATGTATGATCTCAGTGGTATATTGGAACAAATTCTTTGACACATATGCAAGATTTAATTAATCTTGCATCAATGAGAGAATATAAAGATGTTTTCAAAATTAACGATATAATCAAACTGATTTTGGTAATACTAGTAGATGGAAGACTGGATGAAAACCCTCGATATCTTAAAAATATACATCAATATTGCCACATATTTAAAATCTAGATCTCAACTATCTGACTATATGTACTCATGCTTCAGACCAATTCGCATTCAATTCTGTTGAAAGAGCTATGGCATTCTTATTTAAGAAACTAGCAGGAATTTCTTTTCCTATTGATAAATTTGGTAAGCATCTTGATTCTCAAGGAAAAGTTATTGATAAAGAACTTGGACTACGAAATTTTCGGTATGCCTGTAAAGCTTTATGTAATATTTGGCAATGTGATAAGATTTTTGGAAAACCTGTCTATTCTGAATACATTGACGAGAAACTAACTTCTTTATTGGATGTAGCTTTTGAGGCAAATACGGGAATCGATAATGGTGATAATGGAATTACTAAACTAGTTTCATGGGCTTGGATTGAAAACTATACACAAATGTGCAAGTATTCCTTAGATATACGAAAATGTGTAAATCCAGAATGCTGTTCACAAAAATGAGCTCCTGAAGTTGCCACTTTTTTTGAATAAACAAATGGTTTTCTTTCACCAGTAATTCAAGGCAAAGATAACCATTTTTTGAATCCAATACATACTGCACAATATCTAGAAATCAATGAAATATGATGAACATTATCCTTCAGTTAGTGCTAAACAGTATACGCGGCTTGAATGCAATACGTGTAAAAAATACTTTCTACTCGTATTTTTCTTACAAATCATAGGCGTTTTGCTCACTCTAAGAAACAATAACTCATTTTAGATTAGTACATAGCAATATACATTAGTTTTATATAAAATGAATGTAGAATTAAATGAAATAAAAAGCTTATCTTTTATTTTTTCGTCATTTTTTTTATTCATTATCCAATAAAAAATGAGTTTATTTAATGTATTATGTATTTCTATTTTTGGAATTTTGTATTACATAAGACATCATCGATCCCCCCACCTATATGATATTACGTAATATCTGTGACTCCCCTTAAGAAATCGATCACACGTGATCAAATAAATAAAGAGATCGACCAAATCATCGATTATGATTTTTTTTAATTAAATGCCCTACTTCCAATTAACATTTTTGTTTGATTGTGAAGCCTCTTGTTTTCAAAATTAGTCAATCTTTGCATCTTTTATAGATTCATTACTTGATTCTGCTTAAAAAATCTATCAGTAATATAATCATATGGGAGGTTTGCTATTACGAACATAATAAATCATATGGTCCGTAATGTGATTTTAATAGCAAACTTCCCATATGCTTTGTTTTGAAGATATGGTGATAGAAATTTTCTTTCATTTAAACCATCTTTTGGATAAAGCATAGTTGTAATAAGGTGATTGGCTGCTGGGACCTTTTTTATCAGACAACTGTTGAACAGCAGCTATTAATTTATTTCTGCTTATCCACTTAGTTTATCTCATTGTTACTTTTCTTTGCTTTTAACTTTTGAGCTTGAATTTCGCGTGCTTTTTTCAACTGACGAACGAGTCCTGAAATTGGAAACATTTCCCGTTAAAAAATTCGAAATCTTAAAAATTCGATAACTTTGCATTCAGTTAGTGTTCAAAAGTTAAATGAATACAGAATAACTTATAAATAACGTGACACCTCGATTTTTTTAAAAATAAACAACAAAAAAAAAATTTTACTTAGTGAGAAATGACTTAAAACATTACTTTTTTTTTAATTTTGAAGGTAAACGATATATATTTTTTTTTTTTAAAGAAAAAAGAGCTGTTACATGAAACAGATAGCAATTCTAAATGTCTTAGAAAAGTTTGGAATGTAAATAACACGAAGAGTTCAAAGTTATGGAAGTTTGAAATTGCATCGATTTAGTAAGAAATTTATTATATAAAAAAATTCTCACTAAATTTATATGGGTCCATACATAGTTTTGATTTAATTAGTTGACCGCTCACCCAAATGTTTCAACCCTGCTCGATTAAATTTATTAATGTAGGCACTCTTCAATTCCTTTATATTTGTTGCACCTTTCCAGCTCTAACAATAAAATCATTTTTTTTACCTTCCGGTAATTTTTTTTCCTGTTCTTTTCAGCAATTTTGGCAAAAAATTTTCTCTTTTCTCCTTTACCAAATCGCTTTTTTTTCTTTTCTCAGACTTCGAAATAAACTTTTCAAGACTGGTGATTGACTTGGCCAATTTTCCTAAATTTTAACTTTTTTTGTTTCCATCTACTTTAGCGGTATAAACAGCGGGACATTGTCATCTTGGAATAAATAACTCGCCATTAAAATTATTGAACGACGATTTATTTTTCCATTAACTTTTACGATTGGTCCCATTCCATTTCCTGAAAAATAATTTGAGGAAAAATACTTTTGTCCAGCATTTATTGTTTAAGTTTCAAATTTAAAATTTTAGTTTTAACAATAACCATTTATCTGTCATTCTTTTAGAAATCATTTTAAAAACCAAAATTTTAATATAATTTAAAATAACAGTTTTTTTTTTTTATTTTCATAAAAATTTTATCATCGCACAAAATAATTTTTTTTCATCACTGCGAACAACTTTTTTATTTGAATTGTTATGATTTGTGATAATTTTGTGACGCTGCGCCGTCCTAATCAATATACATTATTAAATTTGTGTTCGGTGATACAATACCATGTAAATTATAATGACGATCGTAATTAAATTAAAACTTTGTAAAATGCAAGTTTTAAAGTCTCATCGGAGCGCAAAATTATATTTATTTCATTTTCAGTACCACTATAGAATTTAGCAACAAAAAAAATTCACGTGATTTGGGAACTTTTATTTTTATTTTTATTTTTTTTTTTTGAGATATTAAAAAACAACGTAATATGATTAGTAAGGCTTGCATACGAGGCTGTTGTGGAACTTGTTCCATTATCTGGGGCGTAAGGGGTGACATTTTTCGACTCAATCACTGCAATGTAACCAAACAATAACCGCACGCATAATTATATCTTATGTAAAAAAAATTCTCTCGTAATTGTCTTTAAAGTGTTATCATGTTAATGAATTATTCAATGCATCTCGTATTATGGCTTTTAATTCAATTATTAGTTGAAGTAGAATGTCAAACGGCTCCTTTCAAGCCAGCACAACGTAGCGGCCATTCTGCTACACTTATTGACAGTAATTTGTATATCTTAGGTGGTCGAAATGAGGAGACTGAAAGAGTTGGAAGTGAATTTTTTTATCTTGACGTTTCTGTTTCATTTAATACTCAAAATATTTTATGGCGTGATTTAACAAGCATTAATATAGTTCCAAAGCATAATGCAGCTGCATCTGTTAGTGGTGGTGAAAATAATAAAACCTTGTTTTTATACGGTGGAATTCCTTATTATAATGCAGCAATGGATTTAGTTTATACATTTGATACTCAAAGTAATTCATGGGGTATTCCAAAAATAACAGGCGACAATATTGTTATGAAAAATAACCTAAAAGGAATTGTTAATGATTATGGGAAAATGTTTTTATTTGGTGGACTATTTAATGGCACTACTCAAAATGATATGCTTATTTTAGATACAAAAATTTTGAAATGGGAGTTAGGAAGCGCAATTAATGCACCTTCTCCAAGGGCTGTTTATGGTGCAACTTATGTCTCAGAACAGCATATACTTTATCTAGGTAAGCGAATTATTATCATAATAAACACATGTTATGGTTATCCATTATTTGCTATTATTATTTATTATTTAGGTGGCTTTTCTACCGCATCTAGTGTTGATGGTGCATCTTTATCATTGAAAGAGGTTAATTATTAAAACGATATACAACTTATAAATATTCGTTTATTATATTTCTTAATTTAACAATTTATTTAGATTTATTACTATGACATGGTTAAAAATTTGTGGCTGACAAGAGTATGTTCATTTACTTTTTCTTACTAATATTATTATAACTAAGACCTTACCTATCTTTATTTAATAAAATCAGGTGACTTCTGGTGCAATTCCTTCTGATAGAGATTCCTTTTCTTCGGTCCTTGGTAAATATTATAACATAATCTCATTATTTTGAACTTCAATTAATATAGTATTATTCTTCTTATTAATAAAGGTTTGGATGGACAAAAAGTAATAATCTTTGGAGGAATAAATAATATTAATAAACTCAAACCTCAGGATGCTCTTTATGTATTGGACTTAATAAATTTTGTATGGTATATACCAAAAATTTCTGGAAGTATTCCAGGTTCCAGATATTGGCACCGAGTGAATGTAATTGGAAAATATATAGTTATATCATTTGGTAAATATCTTAAATATCTTATGTCTTTTTTCTTTTTGTCATTTATTCAAAATAAATTTATAATAATTATAAATCATTAGGATTTGGTTATAATAGAAATATTGACAATGATATCTTATTGCTTGATATAAGTAATGATGAAGAATATATGTGGACAAACATTTTCGATCCAAATGAGCAGCCTCCTCCAAAAGTTTCACAAACTAATTTTCCAAAAGTTTCACCAACTATTCCAATACCAGTTATAATTGGAGTATCTATAGGAACATGTTTAGTTATTATTTTTTTATTACTTGGAGGCTTTTACTTGTATAAATGGAATAAAAATAGAAGGGAAAATATAAGAGCAATACCAACTCCTGGAAGTGAAGGTAATTACAATTTTAATCATGAAGCTTTAGAAATTCCTACCAGAAATAGTGTTTATAATCATGGACAAGAAACAATTCCAGCACATTAAAATACTTATTATTATAGATAATGAATATTATCAACACTAAAAACCTATTAGTAACCTTTAATTGTTGATGATAAGATTTCATTTCTTTAAAATTTCAGGATGTTAGACAACAGATCTTTGAATAAAAGCAGTAAATTAGATTACTTTTTTTATATATTTTAATTCTTTTAAATGTAAAATTTATATATTATTATTTCTTTATTTTTACTTTAAAAAAAATTAAAATAATAAATAAAGACTTAAAAGTAATATAATTTTAATGTATTGATACTAATCCTTCTTATTAAAAATTATTATAATGGTAAAGTTAACTGACTGTCCTTCTAGATTGTGAAAATATATGAAAGAATAATCTTAGACTAGATAAAAGCAAAAAATGTTAAATATGAATCAAATATGTTGATAGTTATAAATTTTAAGTTTTATACTATAGTTGAGTTAGTATAGTTAAATTAAAAACTTTGTAAAATGTGTTTATTATCTTATCGTGAGAGAAAAATATATTTATTATTTCATTTTCAGTAAATTGTTTTATATAATATTACAATATTCCTTGCATAATATTTGGCATGATTGAATAAGTTTATCAAATATTATTTTATATGGTGACTTTAAATCTGAGTTGTGTAAATGTTTATAAATCAGTAAATTGCGGTAAAAATAATAAATAATTTTTAATTTTGCATATTATGTAATTTATTTTTTATTTTGCGAATATTCAGTGTGACCTTAAACATTAAATATGGCAAACAAAATTATGAGCAATTCAAAGAGATAATTTCATTATATATACAAATATAAATATATTTATTGCGAAATCTCTTTAATCATATTATATACTCAGGAAAACTTATCATATTATAACTTTAAATATACAAACATATTTTGAAAATAAATTAATAAATACTAATGAGGTTTGAAATGTTATGTTATTTATTTGCTAAAATTTCTTTAAAAAAAATTGGCTTTAATTTAATGTAATATAAATAATATAATTAAATATAATAATAATTTACGTAATTTATAATCAATGCTTATTGTGAAACTTTATTATTACTCAACATTTTCAACTAGATATTATTTTAGTATTTCTTTGTCGATATAAAGGATATACCAATTTTAGTAACTAAACAATAACCACATAATTACATCTTATTTAAAAAAAATCTCCTACTATTTTCTTTAAGCGTAATCATGTTAAAGAATTATTCGATATATCTCACTTTGTGGCTTTTAATTCAATTATTAGTTGAAGTAAAATGCTAAACAACTCTTTTTAATGAAGCAGTCATACTGCTACATTTATTAATGGTAATTTATATATCTTATGTGATCGAAATGAGGAGACTGGTAGGATTGGAAATGAATTTTTTTATCTTAACGTCTCTGTTCTATTTAATACTCAAAATATATTATAGCATGATTTAATAAATATTAATATAGTTCTAGGACATATTTTTGCAGCTTTCGTTAATAGTAACACAAATAATAAAATCTTGATTTTATATGAAAGATCAAGTAATAAAGTAATATCTTTAGTATATACATTTAATACTCAAAGTAATTTATGGAGTATTTTAAAAATAACAGACGACAACATCATTAAGAAAATAACTTAAAAAATATTATTAATAATTATAGAAATGTATTTATTGATGGATTATTTAATGCATTACTCAAAATTATATGCTTATTTTCAATATGAAAAATTTGAAATAGGAGTTAGAAAGTGCAATTAATGCATTTTCTCTAAAAGCTATTTATGGTGCAACTTACATCTTAGATCAGCATATACTTTATTTAAATAAGCAAATAATTATCATAATAAACACATGTTATAGTTGTTCTTATTTGCTATTATTATATTATTTAGATGGCTTTTTTACTGCATCTAGTATTGATAGTGTATAATTATCATTAAAAGAGGTTAATTATTAAAATGATATATCTTTTATAAATGTTCATTTTATTATATTTTTTATTTTAACAATTTATTAAATCTAGATTTATTACTATGATATACAGACCCCCGCCAAAAGTCTCCGAACGCCATCTTTCAGGGGCTATTTCATACCGATTACGTCGCGTGACTGC